TCTCTCACGTGTTCCGCCATGTGCTTCTCGTCCGTGCTTGTTTACGTCAGAGTGCGCACGCGTCTTTCACACAGCATACAGTGTTGTGCATTTTGACCAGTTTATCGGAAAAGTATTCTTAAAATGCATTCAAAATTCTGAATAATTTGTAATATATAATTATTCACGGTATTTAAAAGTGCCCACGATAACAATACCGTGCATATTCATTACCGTGATATATCGCATTACCGAATACCGGCACAAGTCTAATCCACAATGTGCATCCAGATTTGTTTGATCACTGCCGTTGATAGCATGCATCAACTCCATGTGTTTCTAATGTTTACATACCCTCGGCAGCCTGTCCTCGGTTTCTTTGTGTGCTAGGTGGGCAATCCTTCTGAAGGGCTTGACCGTTCCGAAGTTCCCTACACCGACTGAGAAATGCTTGCTCTTCTTTCTGTGTGTGCGCTGCCAGCACCTGTTTTGTGAGTCCCAGCTTCTTATAGGCTTCCTGCTCCACTGTGGGTGGGGAAATCACACTAACAGGTGTAGAAGGGGCTGGGCTTTCTGCAGCATCCTCAATGATCTCTGCAAGTAACAGTTAAATGACATAGGAATCACAATTTTAATTTAATCTTCCTCTTGAATCAACACCTGGATGGTTGTGATGCCCATCAGTACTGCGGAAAGAACAATAGAGGTTCCCTACATTGCAGATATCTACTGAAACTAGGGCTGTCGATTTAAAATGTTAACTGAGTGTGATTAATAAAAAAATAAAATAAAATAACATGCTAAATTAATAATGCATATATTGCACCCGGACCAGAACTGTACATCATCTTACACTGCATGCAGTTGTTGACGAACATGATGCAGGACAACAACTGACTGCATGATTTAGTCAGTTACATGCCCCTAAAATTTAAGATATGAGGGAAAAAATGTCCCGTATGGGTTTTTGTCTTATATTTATGTGATATAGTTTAGTAATATCACACAAGCAAGAGTAGGCTTGTTGGGCAGTCGAGCGATTAAAAGGTGTTATTTAATCACAAATTAAATGCACCTGAATTTGAGCTCAGACATTACCCCTCAAAGGATAATTTAAAGTCGGTCATTGTGTTAAAATGAGAAAAGCACTGAATAGACATTACAAAAAAAGTAGCCTTAGAAAGAAATATTTTGATTCATCATTTATAACACAAAAGGCTACAATTTTGCCATAACATTGTTTTATTGTTGTATTTTTACACAGACTATTCAGTGGCAGCATGAATGCATTTGCATTGCAATTACAATTGCATAAATGACGCTATGAGATTCATGGGATTTTAATAGGCATTAATGGGTTTTTATAAAAATTAGAATATTGAAATATGAAATGATCCTGATACTCATGAAATGATACTCTAATTGTAGGGCTGCCACGAACGACTATTTTTATTTTGATTAATCTATTGACTAATTTATCGATTAATCGATTAAACGATTAATTTCCCGCAAAAAAAAAATTTTCTACAATTTTACTTAAGAATATTTTATTAAACTATATTTTATTAAACCAAATGAAATCCAAATTTCTATGAAATCCTTTTTTTAAAGCAAAGTAAAGTGCATCCATCTCATAGTCCAAATCACTGAAATCAAAGTTCAGTATTATTCTAATTGTGAATCTAAAACTGCCAGTAGGTGGCAGCAAGTCGCTGTCTTAATGACTGAGTCATTCAGTCATTCATTCAACCAATTCATTCAAACCATTGATTTATTCAAAATGAAGCAAGTGACTGTGTTCATCAATGGGACACTGAATCATTGGCGCACTCAATTCATTCAAAAATGTGGATTCATGCATTTATTCTATAATTAACCGCATCAAATTAAAGCATTAAATCAACAGCCCTATCTTTTATAATAATGATAATGAGGTACCTGATTCTGGCTGTGTTTTTTTGTCTCCCACATGTACAATTGTGCTGCTGTAGGAACCTTGAGAAACTACACTGTCTGCTTTGCTGGCTAGGTCCAAAGGAGATAAAGGCCCTCCGACAACACGACCTGGGGCAGGACCTGGCGGAGGCTTTTCATTGGTCTTTATAGAGATTGAAGATGGTGCTTCCATACCTAGAGAATCTAAAAATACATTTAAAAAAAATTGCAAACAGGAATTGAAAGAAGCATCTTTTTTGGTATCTATAAAACATTGCCTTCCAAAAAAACCCCAAGAAAACAAAACTGCCATCAGTTTGCTGTAGACTGGCATCAGAGGCTTTCTTGTCCTCATCCGAATTTGAGGAGGTGGTGTTTGAGGAGAACTGATACTTCCGTTTTACTGTGTTTGGGACGTTACAGCTCTCCAAATATCTGTGAAATACACAATTCACGAATGCATACATATTCAAACAATACCATGCTTGTATCTGACAAAGGGCTGGACACTGAGTAGGGCTGTGCGATTAATCGAAATCGAATCGAAATCGCGATTTGAGACGTTGCGATTTGCTAATCGCAAAGCCTGCGATGTGGACGCGATATTACTCTGTTCCAGAGCATATGCACTGGGCAAGAGTGAGCGCACCTCCGTTCTCCCCAATCAGCACTGCTCTAGCCAACTGCGTAAACACCCACCATTAAAAAACAAAA